ATTTCAACCAACAGCTTGCACTGCAGACCTGGATCTGCCACGATGACGTCTCGATGTACTTACAGTGTAATTCGCGAGGCAGATATTCACGAACGTACCATGGAAGCGATTTGGGAACGCCTCGCGTGGGCCATGAATGCCTTGACCGATGGCGCCATGCCCGAGCATGACTGGCAGGACCGACCCCCGCGAGATTCGGGAAGGGCTCTCCTGGGCGGCGCCTGGAAAGCCGCAGCGGTCCAACTCAGAGGCGATTGGGAATTATATAACGAAGCTTTGAGGTTCCCAACTTCCAATAAAGAACCCTGCATGCGTTGGCTGTGCAAAGCGCCCCCCCCTCGCCCCCCCTCGCGTGGGCGCGACGTGGCGACGACGCCCCTTGGAGAGAAACGCTGCAGACACACCGGCCAGACATCAAAGAGTGGATAGATTCGGCCAAACCCATCCGAGAATTGTCTCTGGCTCGCGCGATGCGCCTGGAGTCTGCGTGCATCGACGTGCTACGTGCAGTTGACCTTGGCGCAACCTCCCATATCATCGCATACGTCCTTCCTGAGGCGATGGCATCAGGAGCCTCCCAGCTTGAAACGTTCGAGGGCATTTTGTGAAGGATTGGCACAGCACTCAACAGCTTGTCGCGCCCAGGGCCACCTCACCACTGCTCGATTTCAAAGTTCGAGCGAGTGGCCCAAGTTCAAGGGCAAAGCCGCGTCCAACCGCCATCTTGTAACGATCCTTGTTGAGGTGGCCTGAGAACGCAACGGCGGCTCATTGCGCGACCGTCGGCGCTCGGCTGCATGCGACCTTCTGGACCGTTACTAAAGCATCATGTCTACTGAACCCCGCCTCATGTCAGGGGCGGCCCAGCGGGAGATCAGCGCGGCATGCAACCAACTGCTGAACAGTTACAGATGTTTGGCTCGTGGGGCTTTGGATGCCGAGTGGAGGGGGTGGAAGCCCGCCCCCAAATTATATTTTTCCAGCGTAAGTCCAGCGCGAGTGGAATTATCCACGCTTTACGTGGGCCTGCGCCGACGGGGACCGTCAGGGGGCGATCAAACCGATTGCTTCGTCGTGCCATCCACGCGCTGTGGCAGAGGTCACGTTGGACAAGTGGTTGTGCGCAACTTTTTTAAGCAGGGGTTCGTCGTCATCTTCATGGGCAGCATCGCCAACACCACCACCATCATCAACGCCGGCATCATCGACAAAGACGCCAACATAGACATGAGCAAGTCCGCCCGTGCGATTCGCGCCAGCCTGTCAGAGCCCCCCCCTGCGCGCTGCTCCTCGCGCTTTTCTCGAACAGAGGGGCGCCCGAGATGCGCCCGAGATGTCGCTCGTGCCTTGCGCGGACAAGAACAACCGGTGCAACGCTATGTTGCAAGGGCAGGCGAGAGAAGGAACGGAAGGAAGAGTGGGGGGGGGAGAAGCGATGGCAGCACCCAGGAACTAGATGGCGAAGAGCGCGGGGCTCCTCACTCCTCTGCTGCTGCTGCGGCTGCTGTTGCTCCTCCCCCTTCCTCCTCATCCTCCTCCTCGCCTCCGGCCTCCTGCCCCTCGCTCCTCCTCCTCCTCCTCCTCCCCCATCCTCTTTTTCTTCCTTTTCTTCTTCCGAGTCCTCCTAGCCATTTTGGCTCAACCGCGTCACTTCCAACTGTTGCCTCGGGAGCTCAATCAACATTGGCACGGAGTTCCTCTAGATGGTGCATCGTAGCCTTTTCGCGCGGGGCTGCATGTTTGACTGCGGGGCCGCTTCTCGTTTTCGGACGCATCTTCCTCCTTCCCCCCCCCCCCCCCCTCCTTCATCACCCCCCCCCCCCTCGCCGTTTTGGTTCGACCCATGCTGGCTCCAACCGCTTCGGCTCATTCATCCATCGCACTTTGTGCGGAGGCCTGTAACTTTACTTGGTGTTTCGCGCACCTTCGCATGAGGTTGCACTTGCGGGCGCGATTGTCCGATGCGTTTGTGCCGCGCGCCCGAAGCGTGCGCGACGATGAGCGATTGCAACCGCGTGGAGAGGCTCGGTATTCGGGCCTTTTGGCGGGATGATGGCGCCCCGACTGGCGCAGGCACTTACCCCGCGATTGTTAAAGGCCCGCGTGCCCCCCGCGGGGTCTTCGTGGAACGGCGCGCGCGCCCATGCTTGCCTTCGCTGCGCGCCTGAATTGGCGCCCGTCGCGTCTGTCATTGAAAACATTGAGCGCGCCATTATTTAGATTCCATCTGCCTCGATTCAAGGCAGGTTTCGTCTGATTCAGACGCGGGCGCTTCTTTCAGCGTTTGTTTTCAGACGCGCTGCCTTCTTCTCTGGCGCACGCGCCAATTATCAAGGAACAGGTTAACAGAGACGGTCGGGGAGGCGGAACTGGAACCGGAACTGGAATCGGAGCAGTTCCAGTTCCAGCGACGGAACCTGAACCAGAACCGGAACCGGAACCGGAACCGGAACCGGAACAGTTCCAGTTCCATCAGTGCCAGAACCGGAACCGGATGCGGAATCGGAACCGGAACGCACCCCCCCCGCTCCGGCTGGAGGCGAACCGGAACCGGAGCCGGAACCAGAACCAGAACAGTTTCATGTTCCCGACCTCGTGCCCCGCTGGAATCCCGGAACCGGAGCCGGAACGCCCCCCCCCTCTCCCGAACCGCCGGAACCAGAACAGTTCCAGTTCCAGTTCACCGACCTCGCGCCTGGCTGGATACCCGGAACCGGAAACGGTACCTGAACCGGAACAGTTCCAGTTCCAGTTCGCCGACTTCGCGCCTGGCCCAGAGGGCCGGGACTTGCTATAACAGCCGTCAGACGTTCGATTGATTGCTCAAGTCTTATAATAGCACTAACTGCTTAAAATAAGACGCGATGCTTATAATAAGAAGTGACTGCTTCTTATAAACGTTGAGTCTTCACAAGGCGCATATTTCACCCTAGTCGTGTTTATTGCAGACACCATTACAATTATCGCTATATTATTGCATTGGGCGTTTTGAGAGGAAAAAACGATTGCGATATGTATAATACCATGTATACAACACTGTTCGATATGATATCGTATATCACATTGCACTTGTGCCGTCTTGGAGCCGTCTTGTGCCGTCTTGGGGCCATCTTGGGCGCGGTGCTTCGCCCTGGGGCATCCTAGCCGTATTGGTGGCATCTTCGGCTGTCTTGGAGTGCGTGCGCGCGTCACTTGTGCGTATTTGCTCGCGCGCTCGTGTGCGCTTGAGTGCGCGCGTGTGTGTGTGTGGGTGCGTGTGTGTGCGTGTGTGTGTGTGTGTGTGTGTGTGTGTGTGTGTGTGTGTGTGTGTGTGCGTGCCGTGCCGTGCCGTGCCGTGCCGTGCCGTGCCGTGCCGTGCCGTGCCGTGCCGTGCCGTGCCGTGCCGTGCCGTGCCGTGCCGTGCCGTGCCGTGCCGTGCCGTGCCGTGCGTGCGTGCGTGCGTGTGTGCGTGCGTGCGTGCGTGCGTGTGTGCGTGCGTGCGTGCGTGCGTGCGTGCGTGCGTGCGTGCGCGCGTGCGTGCGTGCGTGCGTTCGTGCGCGCGTTTGAGCGCGCTTGCGCGCGTGTGCGCGCGTGGGTCTGCGCGCTCGCGTGTGTGCGTGTGTGCGCGCGCGTTCGCGCGTGCGTGCTCGCGCGCGCGTGTGCGTGCATGTGCGTGTGTGCTCGCGTGGGCTGGGCGCGCCGCGCCGAATCCGGCGCCGCTCGTCGCGGAGCCCTTGGCTCCGTCTCCCGCGCCGCCCTCGGCGCCGCCCTCGGCGCCGCCCACGGCGATGGAGCCGCCGCCGATGGCCTTGCAAGGGGCCGAGGCGGCGGAGCGGCTGCTGCGGGGCGGAGGCGGACTCCGCGGGGCGGGGCGGGGAAGGGGAGGGGCAAGG